CTGCTATTGCCCTAGCGTTGCTTCCCAGGCATCGTGTCATTTCTCGCAAAATGGAACCCCTGAAGGTCTAGACCTTCTCCCCGGGATATCCGCATCCCGAGGCGGTTGTTGACGATCTGGAGGCACGGCGAGGGCTCCCAAAGCCGAAAACGGTCAAAAGCCTTCCGCCGTGCTTCTTTTGCGACGAGGCGAAGTAGGGACGAAGGGGAACGATCGGGAGGGCCGGCCTCAGGGGGGAAACCATGAACTCGGATCGGCGATGCATCGCCGATAGATCGGCGACGGGCCTCCGACAGCTCCACCGCACGCTCCTGAGCAGGGCGGGGTGCCCCAGGTCCCCACTGGCAACGAAACGAGCAATCGGGGGTCGCTGCTCCCCCCCCTGGGGCCAGTCCCCCCCGCCGTTGCCCCCTGGCGCTCGGGTCTCGACTCGCCGGCGACCCTTCGGGATCCCTCGGCCACCCCTGGAACGCCCTCGGCGAGGCGCGGCTGCTGGGACCCCTCCCGAGGCTGGAAAGCCGCCACGGGCCGACACGGAACTGCCCGACGACGTCGCACCCCGAAGCCGTCGCTGCCCCGGGACGGGCCGGAGAGGCCGCTTCGGCCTCCGCCCGCGTCCGCGGGCAGGGCCCGCCTCGACGGCGAGGCCGGGAGAGGGCCCCGAAGGGGCCCCCTGGTGAGGAAGTCCGTCGCCGCGGCCTCTTCAGCACAGCCGAAGCACGGCCACAAGAACGGGGATCGAGAGCAGGTGCTGGCGGTGGACACACCTCCCTGTCGTAAACCTCCCTCTTGGTGAGAATAGCCTGGGGCCGAAACCGACGGACCTGGGCCCGCAACAAAATGTCGCCCGCGACGCCCTGTCGCGAACCGAAAACGGCCGATTCGCTCATCGACGCGTCAGGGTAGGAGGCACATCAACCTCCGATCGGGCGTTGGCAGAACTGGGTTTAGTGGAACCTGGTTTAGTGATCTGTACCAGGAGCGCCTCCCCGTCCCACTTCCACTAACCGGAACCGCCGTCACCCGAAAAAAACACCAGCTGTGGCAAACCTGGTTTAGTGATTCTGGCCACTTCGAAGGCTCCGGGGCCCTACCACTAACTGGGTCCCCTTACCCGGGGTCCTGGTCATACCTGATCCGAATGTTGGGGGTTGCTAAAGGTGCCCTTGGCCCAAGGTGCCCCCAGATTTTCGTTCCATTTCGCTGGGAACCTTTGGGCCTCGTGATGGGTGCTCTGGAGGCCGTTGGGGCATCCTTGGAAATCCTGGGGGCACCTTGGGCCCGGGGTACTTCTAGCAACACCCGAAATGTTGGGGGGAGCAAAGGCAGTATCCGAGGCACGCCGCCGCGGGGAGCCCGTCGGCGCGTCACCTGAAGGCACAACAGGTCTGATGGGCCTGTTTTCCGCCGCCACCACCACCAGAGGTAGGAGAGGGAGGGGGTCCTCCTCCTCCTCCTCCACCACCTCCTCCTCCTCCTCCTCCTCCTCCTCCTCCTCCTCCGTCCTCCTCCTCCTCCTCCTCCTCCTCCTCCTCCGCTCCTCCTCCTCCTCCTCCTCCTCCTCCTCCTCCTCGTCCTCCTCCTCCTCCTCCTCGTCCTCCTCCTTTCCCTCTCCAACTTATGGCGGTGGTGGTGGAAAACAGGCGCATCAATGTCGTCGGACAAAATCGGGAGCAGCACGCTGACGGGCTCCCAGCGGCGGCGTGCCCTTGCAGCTCGTTTCTCCACCCCGACGGCGTGCCACGTCGCCGGGGCGGCTCCGAGGCCCCACGGAGGAAGGGGCCCTGGGACACACAAATCCGCCGGCCCCCTTGTGGGGCCACCAGGCTGTAGGCGCGTGATTCGCAGTTTCCTGTACCAGTCGTAGGTTGTAGTTTCCAGTGTTACAGTTCTGCTTCTTGCTGGTTACTGTAACTAGTTGACTTCTTGCTGGTTACTGTAACTAGTTGATTGACCGCGCGAGGGGGGGGGAGGCCCAAACCGGATTTTTAGCACCCCCTGGGCGCGTTGTCTGAATTGCTGGGGGGGCTCGAAATCGACACCCCTCACGCAGATCCGCGGGGTCAGGGTCCAAAAACACAGGGATTTGCCACATTTCTGAAATTCGGTGCCACCCCTCACGCAGATCCGCGGGGTCAGGGTCCAAAAACACATGGGATTTGCCACATTTCTGAAATTCGGTGCCACCCCTCACGCAGATCCGCGGGGTCAGGGTCCAAAAACACACGGGATTTGCCACATTTCTGAAATTCGGTGCCACCCCTCACGCAGATCCGCGGGGTCAGGGTCCAAAAACACATGGGATTTGCCACATTTCTGAAATTCGGTGCCACCCCTCACGCAGATCCGCGGGGTCAGGGTCCAAAAACACAAGGGATTTGCCACATTTCTGAAAGTCGGTGCCACCCCTCACGCAGATCCGCGGGGTCAGGGTCCAAAAACACAGGGGATTTGCCACATTTCTGAAATTCGGCGCCACCCCTTACGCAGATCCGCGGGGTCAGGGTCCAAAAACAAAGGGGATTTGCCACATTTCTGAAATTCGAACCCATCACGCACATCCATCACAAGGCGTGGTAACCCAAACTGCGAGAACTCCCTCGGCCCTTTAATCGCAAGGTGTGGTAACCAAGCCCTTAAACCATACACGTCTTACCAATCGCCAGGCGTGGTAACCCCTCTTGTGATCAGTTGGTTTTGCTGATTGCGACTCGGTTTCGCATGAAGTTTCGATACTGCTTCACGACAGCGCCAAGGCCTCATGACTTAGCTCTTCCATGTCCCATTCTCCGAGAGAGGGGGCCGGCGGCAGGGGGCGAAGCCCTTACGGATAAATACACACAAATAAAAAGATTCCCCATATTTTTTCCCATATTTTCTTGGTTTTTGTCTTCCCCCCCACTTCCCATACTTTCGCATATTTCTGGGGAATCGACGATTAATTGTGTCTGTGCTTTTTCCCCTCCTGAACGGAGATGCCCCAAACGGATGGCACCCCAAGAGGGGAAGCCTAAACATGAAGAGCCCGAGGGGGGTTACCCCCCAAAAGACCAAGGCCGTTCTGAACCCCGATGTGTGCCCCGATGTGTGCCCCGTCGCCCCGATGTGTGCCCCGTCGCCAAGGGGCTCTGCGGCCCCACGGAGATGCCCCAAACGAATGGCCCTCCAAGATGGGAAGCCTCAACATGAAGAGCCTGGGATGATGTTGCTCCCATCGTACTGAAGGACCACGTCCCAGAAATAATGTCGAGCACCCAGAAAAGTGTCGAAAGAGTATCGAAACAGTGTCGAACGAGTGTCTCCCAGGGCCCGACACGCGAAAACCCTCGAGTTCCGGTACTTGTTGTTTCATGCTCGAAGTTCTGTCTGGTGATCAAGGCTAAAGTAAGTTGGGACATCATAAACCTGAGGGGGGTTACCCCCCAAAGACCAGGGCTGGTCTGAACCCTCGTGCCAGCACTGCAAGGTGCCCCTGAAATTTCCGATGCCTTCCCCAAAACCGGAGCATCATCCCGAGCGTTGTTGTTGACGGCGCCTGGACACAAACACGGCCTCCAGAAGCGGAAACTTGGGAAAGCACCTCCTGCCTTGTTTTCTTTTCGTTCTTCAAGGCGATGGAGGTCTGTGCAGGATCAGTCCGTATCGAATCGGGAAATCGGATAGAATCGAAACGTGAGCCAGGTCACAAAATCGAAATCAAATCGGATGGGCCACGCCAGGATGCACGACAGCGCCATGCAAGCATCAGGCCACATCGGATTGTCAGAACATCGGAATCGAATCGGATCGAGCTGGTCAGGATCGATATCAAATCGTATCGCCTGGATCGAAACCCAGACCTCGGATGTCGTGATTATAGTTAAAGTGGACTCCGAGAGGTCTGGACCCCTTCCCCAGGGCCAGTTTCCCAATCCCGAGCCATCCTGTGACGGCCCCGAGGCCCAGCAAGGGCCCCCAGAGGATGGAAAATCTCGAAAAACCTTCAGTCATGAGTTCTTCGCAACGCGAGGCCTGGGAATGGACCCTGTCGGGGCGGTGGTGGTTGGCGGCGCGCACAAGGGGGGTAGGGGGAGCGGGGAAGGCTTATTAGAAGCAGGAGTGCTTCTAAGAAGCCTTCCCCCCCTCCTCCCACCCCCTCTCTGCGCGTGGCCGAGTGGTGGTGCACTGACCTCCCCCTCCCGGGTCTTCACACTCTGCCAAGTGCTGGACCAACGGTCGCCCGGCCGCCCCGAGGGGCAGCAGAGGGGGGGGGGGGGGCCAGGCGCCCCCCTGACGGACCCAGCCCCCCGAGGAAGGCCACCGCGGGCAAAGCAAGACCAGCCGAGGATGGGCAAAGAGGGGCGAGCGCATCGGCACACGAAGCTGCTTGTCCCTGCACCTCCCGACGCCACAGGTGCCACCGTGTCGAGGAAAGCGCCCGGCGGCGGAGCCACCACCAGCTGCATGTAGCAGACTCCGCCCCCTCCCCTCGTGCGGTTCCAAACGGGACCCCAGGGAAAGGGACTTCTGAGACGGGCGATGCTGATGCCTCGAGTCCGCTCGGCTTGGCCCGCAAGGTCGTCGCACGACGCTGGCACTCGCACTTCGAAGGCTCAGATGCAACGCCGCGGTCTCAGAAGTCCCTCTCGCTGGAGTCCCTTCGGGGAACGCATCATCCCCGCTTCCCCAAGTCCCACCCGAGACCTGGGCTGCTTTGCACCCGGCCCCCACTGGGAGGGTCCTGCCTGGCTGGTCCTGGGGGGCGGGGCCCCCAGTGGCCCCCCTCGGCAGCGAACCTGCCGACCGCGGGTGGCTGGACACCAGCGCGCCGGCCGCGAAGCCCAGCCCCAGATCCTCGAACTCCCGGCGGGCGCCGTTCGGGGCACGCCAGCTGACTGCAGACCCCGGCAGGGCCCACCCCGGACCTGGGAGCCCTCCCGCCTCGGCCTGGAGGCACTGCAGCCCTCGTGCCACCACAGGGAGCGCTGGGCAGGGAACGAGGGGGCGCCTCTGGCCACGGCGAGGCTCTCGCCCAGGCATGAGCCCCCCGACCCAGCTCTGAGGCACGGCCCGAGAAAACCAGAGCCCCGTCCGGAGCCCCGGGTGGTCCTTGCTGCCACGCCTGGACTGCACCGAACCAGACCTGTGCTCAGGACCGGCCCAGACTTGGCGGCGCGCACAAGGGGGTAGGGGGAGGGGGGAGGGCTTCTTAGAAGCAGAGAAGAGGCGCCGGCCTTACATCTACAAAGAAGGCCCGCGCCTTCTACTGAGAAGCAGGGGTGCTTCTGAGAAGCCCTCCCCCCTCCCCCCTAACCCCCCCCTCTGCGCGTGGCCAACAGGCAGCATCTCGGGCAGGCGGCCAGCTGAGGTCCCCCGCGCTGTGCTCGAACGCCGCCCGGGGCGTCCAGGGCCCGGCGTCCACCCAGGCCGCCGGCGCGCGGCCCTCTGCGCCAGAAGGCCACACGGGGAGCGGCACGGGCACGGCGAGTGCCGCGCGGAGGTCCCTGCCCTCGGCCTGGCCCGAACGCATTTGCGGAAGAGTCTCGGGCCCGGCGCTCAGATTATGAGGAGGATTCAGCCAAAACGTCCAGCTCGCTTCTCGTACCTCGAAGACGCTTCCCGTCAGAACTAGTACCTCGTAGAGCTCTTCGGCATCGATGAGCTAGAGGAATTCCGGCGCGGGGTGGAGCTAATACCTCATAGAGCTCTTCGGCATCGATGAGCCAGAAGAATTCCGGCGAGGGGTGGAGCTAGTTGGCCCGCCCGGCCCGGGCGGACAATGTGGCAACCTGGGGTCGGTTTTTGGGAGATTGACTCGTGACCCCGCAGGTGTGAGGGACAAAGACAGGGGGGGGCTGGCCTAGGGGGGGGAATGCATCGACCTGGAATCGGCGACTCATTGCCGATAGAGCGGCGATGGGCCCCCGATAGCAAGTCCGCACCTCCCTGTGCAGGTTGGGGCCATCGGGCCCCGATCGGCGATCAGTGGGCGATGAGGGGTCGATGCATCCCCCCCTATGCCTATCCCCCCGAGACCCCGGGCGACGCCGAGTCCCCGGCAGCTCCGACCCACGGGGATCTCATGGGGCCCTGGCTGCTCGCGCCACTCTGGGCCCTGGGACGCTCTGGGCCTCGCGGGGGGGTGCTCTGGAGAAGCCATGTGGGCCTGGGCCTCCATCGAGAAGCTGGTGGCACCTTCAGGGCCCCCCCTGAGCGAAGTGAACCCCGCCCTCCCCCTCAGAAAGAAATCGTGGGGGGCAGGGGCAGGGTTCGCATGTGGCCCCCTCACCTTGAGCCATGGCCACCTTGGGCAACACCCGAGGGGTGGCGGGATAGCCTCGCGCGCCAGGGGGGTGGGTGCGGGGAAAGGGGGGTGCAGCGCCGACCCAGGAGATCCACAGGCTTGTGCTCGTGCCGCTGTGTGCTCTTCTGTCTAAGCCGAACGCAGCGCTGGCGACGAAGGCGCCCTGGGAGAACCCCTGGAGCCCCACGTGCCTGGCTTCCCGCTGCCCGCCGAGGAGGCCGTTGGGGTCGGCCACCACGTAGTCCCAGGCGCCCAGCAGGTCAAGAGGGTAAGCGCTGCTCCACTGATAGACGTGCTCGGAGGTGTTGCTCGAGTAGCAGTGGTCTCGGAGGTTCGGCAGGAAGACGCTGAACCCAAGGGAGCGGAGCATGTACGCAGCAAGCTGCGGAGAATGGGCGTTCGAATTCTGCTCGAACCCGTGCTGCAGCACGATTCTGGGCGCTGCCGACTCGTTGGGCGCTGGCAGCCACCATCCTGTCAACTCGACCGCATCCATGGGACCAGAACGAGACTGGTATGTCACGAGCTGTCCCGGGTACTGTTTGTTGAAAGCGTCCATCCTCTCGAGGATGCTCACGTCATAACATGGGTCTGTACAATTCTGCCTGGGCGTTCCGTATAGACACCCTGGCCACCAGTTGTTATACGTGATATTTTCCATTGTCAAACCTTGATGGCAGAACTCCTGGACCATCAGGTCATCGATCGTGAGGAAACGTCCGACCGCCATACCAGCGGTGGTCTTCACGAGAAAAAAGTACAGCCAAGGAGGGAGCACGAGCGCGAGCAAGGAGCAGGCGCAAACAGCGCAGTAACACCTGTAAGACCTGAGAAGAGATGGCTGTGGTTCCACGTCCACATCGCTCAACAGCGGATCTGTTTCGACACGCACGTACGCAGCCCCGTCAAACTGGCGCGTGCTCATATTAGTTCAACAGGGTGTGGCTATGTGTACGCGCCAACGGCGTTTGAGCCAAAACGGCTAGGGAAAGTGAAAGAAGCATGTGATGACGACGACGACGACGACGACGACGACGACGACGACGACGATGATGATGATGATGATGATGATGAACATAAACAAAAAACACTGGAGTTTAGAATTCAAAAGAACAGAAAGTACTTCTCAGCATCGAGGTACACAATCATAGCGCGCACACAGATTACAAATTAAATGCTCGAGGGAATAGAACTCGCCGGCCCAACGTGCCAGAGGCGTGCTAAGATCTCCGTTAACAAGTTCACAATATTTTAGTTCGCCCGCACGTGGCGGCCCCTGGGGGTCGTCGAGCGGAAAAAAACCCAGGGCAACTCCCGGCAAAGTCCCCGCCAAAGATGCCAGATTTCTTGGGCGCGGGCCTGGGGCCTCTGGAACCGTCTGGGAGCGGCCAAATGAGTCGACAAATAGGTGGCAGGCCCTGCGGCCAGAAGCCAAAAGCGTCTCAAGGCGGCCTAAGATGGCCTCACGATGGCCCTCGATGCCCCCAACACGCCCCTCGAGGCTTCCAAGAGGCGTCCCAAGAGGCAAAAATCACTGATTTTCTCAAGGTTCTTGGATGTTTTCAGCCTTCTCGCCTTTTCGGCTTTCCGACGCCCCAAGAGGGCCCAAGAGGCCTCCAAGACCGCCCCAACACAGCCCAAGAGGCTCCCAAGATGGCCCCACGATGGCCCAAGATGGCTCCAGGACGGCCCAAAAGGCGGCCACACGGGCCCAAGAACGCCCCAAGACGGCCCCAAGAGGAGCCGGAGACGCCCCCAAATCGCCCCAAGCAGCCCAAAATGGCCTCAAGACGGCCCAAGAGGCTTCCAAGAGGTCCCCACGAGACAAAAATCACTTATCTTCTGAAGGTTCTTGCAGGTTTTCAGCCTTCTCGCCTTTTCGGCTTTCCGACGCTCCAAGATGGCCCCAGAGGCCCCAGAGGCCCCAAAGACAGCCCGAGAGGCCCCCAAGAGGACCCCCAGACAGTCCAAGACGGCCCCAAAACGACCCCTAAGACGGCCACAAGAGAGTGCCCGAGAGGGGGAACACGAACCACCAATTCGAGCCTTCTGCCCCAAGAGGCTACCAGGAGGCCTCAAGAGGGCCCCAAGAGAGCCCAGGAGGCCCCCTGGACGTCCCACGATGCCCCCAAAAGGCCCAAACAGAGGCTCCAAGAGGCCCCCAAACGCCCAAGAGGCCCCAAGAGGCCACGAACGCGCAGGCAAACGCCTGCGATGGCACAAAGGGCTGGCGGAGTGAGCGAAGCGAAAAAATAATCAAAACTCTCCCGGGGGGGGAATCCAGAGGGATCCTGCGTGAGAGAACGATAAAACTGACAGGAAGCTCAAATCGGGCGCTCCCGGGCGCTCGCGGGGCTTGTCACGTGATGTCTGCCGAGGCCTCAGAAGCGTGGTTTTGGATTGTACCTTCCCACGCGTCCCAAGATGGCCCCGAGGCCAAGGGACCGCCATGCAGGGGGGCTCTCTCGCCTCGGGGGCCTTGGAGGCGCTGGGGGCCAGCGCAAGAGGCCAAGATCGTCAAATTGTCATTGGCCTTCCTCATTCCCCAAGCAAAGCTTGCACCTAAGGATTCTTGCCTGTTTCCTTGCGCAAATGGCCTGCCCGTCTGGCTTTTCGCCCGGTGGCCGAGGAGGAGGAGGAGGAGGGCGAGGAGGAGGAGGAGGAGGGCGAAGAGAGGAGGGCGAGGGGGAGGGGGAGGAGGAGGAGGAGGAGGAGGAGGAGGAGGAGGAGGAGGAGGAGGAGGAGGAGGAAGAGGGGGAGGAGAAGGAGGAGGAGGAGGAGGTGGTGGCCGCCCGTGGGTGCCTCGTGCGCTGGCGGGTGGCTCCACTGCTTCTTCCCCGGGGACCGCTTGCACTTCGGGTTGCTTGCCTCGCCTCGACCAGCTGGGCGGACTTAGTCGAGGTTTCGCCTGGTGGGCGGTCGGTGGCCGGCCGTGGGCACCTCGTGGGCGCCCCGCACGCTGGGCGAATCTGTCAAGGTTTCGCCTGGAGGGCGGTTGGTTGGTGGCAGGTGGTGGGCGCCTCGTGGGCGCCCAATTCGATGGGTGCGACCCCTGCGCTGGGCAGGTAGGGGGAATAGGTGGGCCCACTTCTCTGTCCTGCGTGGGGTGTGTCTCCTTGCGTAGGGTGTGTCTCCTTCCTCTCCTCTCCTCTCTCCTTCCTCTCCTCTCCTCTCCTCTCTCGAGCCCAAAAAGTGAGCCCACCTATTCCCCCGCTCTCTGCGCTGGGTGGGTCTGTCGAGGATTCGCCTGGCGGGCGGTTGGTGACCGGTGGTGGGCGCCTCCACGCGGCCTGTCCCGCATGGCTTACACAACGCAGCTTGCGCCACAAAGCTCGAACCACCCAGATTGCACCACATGGGTTGCACCGCATAGCTTGCACCACGCAGCGTACACCACACAGCGTACGCCACATAGCTTTCGCCACTGACATAGCTTGCACAACATAGCCCGCACCACATACCTTGCATCACTCAGTTCACGCCGGCGAGCCTACTCCACATAGGGCCAAACGGTCTTACAGTGTCCCTGGGTGCGTGGAAGAAGTGGGGACCCGCGGTGCGGATCCTTGTTGTTTGAGTGCTGTCATCAACCTCGCCCGCAACCCGCGACCCATCCCGCGACCCACCCGAGACCCGCGAACCACCCGCGACCCACCCGCGATCAGGCCGCGACCCGCCCGCGACCTACCCGCGAACCTCCCATACCGATTTGTCTCGTTGTCTAATGTTCAAACTTAGACGCCTGCGGCGAGCTTCTTCAAATCCGCTTTCGCGCCTCGCAGACTGCCGACGACTGTCCCCCCCCCCGCACCATCACTCTTATCTGCCACATCGCTGGCACATCCACAGTGCAATAAGTCAGTGTTTGCGGTTCAAGCTGGCAAACACACATGCTAGCAACAAGAGGGCACCAAGAGGCCCCCCAAAATGGCCCCGAGGGGGCAAAATCATTGAGAGGCCCTTGCAGGGAAACACGAACCTACATTGCGAGCCCTCCGCCCAAAGACGCCCCCCGAGACCGCCAGCAGGCCCCCAAGAGGCCCCCCAGAAGCTCCAGGAGGCCCCCGAGAGGCCCAAATCAGACTCCAAGGGGCGCCCAAGGCATCGCAAACCGCATCAAGGAGGCTTCCGAGAGGCCTCCAGAAAGGTCCCCACAGGCACACAGTTGGCCTCTGACCCAGAACTCAGGCCCGGTGGCGGGATGGCCGCCCCTGGTGCTTGCCACAGGGGTGCACGGGCGTGCCAGATGTCTGAGTTGTTTTGGTCCATTTTACTACAAGTTCCCAGCGGGGTCTCGGCCGATCTCGCTGGCCGCGCGAGAGGACTCGCACAGATCTCAACGTCCACAACAGATCTCCCCAAGGCGTGGCCTCCAAAAACCGGTTCCAAGACGTCTCCAAGACGGCCAAGATGGCCCCAAAGAGAGCCCAAGATGATCCCTAAATGCACCCACCACGGCCAGAAGTCGATCCAAGACCGCCTCAAGGTGGCCCAAGACGTCTCAAGAGGTCCCCAAGAGTGAGGGCTCCAAGAGGACCTCCGGGAGGCCAAAAGCATTGAATATACATATATGTGTCCATGATTTTAGCGTTCACGGCGCCACGTCCCAAGAGGCCGCCAAGACCTGCAAAATGACCCCATCGGGTCCCCAAGAGGCCCCCGGGAGGCCCCCAAGAGGCCCCAAGAGGCCCCAAGAGGCCTCCAAGAGGCCTCCTCATCCTCATCCTCCTCCTCCTCCTCCTCCTCCTCCTCCTCCTCCTCCTCCTCCTCCTCCTCCTCCTCCTCCTCCTCCTCCTCAGCCGTTCTGGCGCAGGCGAGCGCTTGCGGATTCTCTCTTCAGAACGGCAAGGAATCCGCGGGTCAATTTTGGCTTCACAACTTTCTCGTCCATCTTTCTCCAGTCAGACTGATGTCCCATGGCCCCTGCAAGGGCGGCGGCGGCGGCGGGCAGGGCACCCCTCCTCCGTGGCGCGGCGGCGGCTCCCAGGGCTGGCAGCGGCAGGACTGGAGCTACTACGACTACGGAGGCGCCCAGTGGTCTGGCGGCAAGGGCTACGGCACGGCTGGCAGGAGCGACTGCTGGAAGTGCGTGGCATGCGGATGCGGCAAGACCACCGTCTGGGCGACTCACTGCAAGCACTGCGGTGCACCGAGGCAGGCCCCAACAGTCGGCCACCATGCTCCTCCTCGCGGTGTGTGGTCTCATCAGCAGGGTCTGCCTCGTGCGCTTGGATATCACCCCCCAGAAGAGTGGTCTGCCACCCCGCCTGGACCTCAGCTTGGCAGCGCAGCGCAAGGCACAGGCAGCGGCAGCCGAGGGCAGGATGTTCCTTTGGACGCAAAGGAGCTCCAGATGCTGGTTGCACTGTCGCGCCGCGCAGGTGACCAAGCCACAGCTGCCAAGTACCAGGGCCAGCTGGACCCCATGGCTGCGGCCGCAAAGCCGCCGCCAAAGGCCCTGCAGGACCAGGTCAGCGACCTGCATCACCGCATCAAGCTGCTCGACGGCAGGCTCGAGGCCGAACTGGCGAAGCTGGCGCGATGGCAGGATGGCATCAGGGCTCAGGAGATACTCATCCATGATTTGTCGAAGCAATCTGAGGCCATGGTCACAGAACATCGGCAACTGGTTGCACAGCTACACAATGCAGTGGTTCCTCCCTCGGCCGACACCGAGCCCACGCCTGGGCCCACCTTGTCACTTCGAGACCTCGTGGACGGGCGAGTATCCAACATCGTCATCGACGACGGGGGCCTCTTCTCAGTCGATGCTGACGGCATTGAGGACTCAGATCTACAAGAGGTGGAACGGCGTCGGGCAGATTTCAAGGAGCGTATCGGCAAGGCAGCCAAGGCCCTCTTCGCCGAAGCGATGGAGCGTGCGGCAGTCGCCAAAGCCGAGCACGACGGGCACCTCAAGCGCATGGCCACCAAGCGCAGGAAGGGCTGCGATGGAGCCGCGTCGGCTGGAGGCGGAGCTCGTGAAGGGGGCGCTGAAGCAGCTGAGTCACATGCTGGCGGCGCCTGTGGCAGCGGCGACGCGACGACCAGCGACGTCAGTCAGCCCGCCGCCCAAGTCAGCCGAGTTCGTGAACAGGCGGCACGCGTTGCTGAGCGAGCTCAGCAGCAGCAGGCGGCGACTGATAGCATCGGCACGGGTGAGCGGCACAGCGAGCAGCACAATCAGAGCCCCCCTGACGGTCAGCAGCAGGCCTGAAGGGGGAGAGTTAACTTTTCTATGCTTGCAACACCTGACAGGTGTGACAGTTCGGTTTTTTTTCGGTGGGAGGTCGACAACATGCGCAGGCTGTCAGGCCCCCTCCTCCTCGTGCCCAACTTCTTCCCGTTTCGCCTCGAAAGATTTGTCACAACGCGCCAGCTAGGGGGTGTATCCCTTCGGAGCCAGGGCACTCGTGCGCTTCTCTTGGAGGCCCCTTTTTTGCCACCGCCACCTCCAGGCTACCAGTCGTTCCGTCTCAGGGTCGTGTCGATCAATGGCAATGCCTGGGGGTCGGTGAAGGAGTGGCTCCCCAGCGTAGATGCTGAAGTCCTTCTAGTCCAAGAGCACAAGCTTTTGACTCAAGAGGCTTTGGATAGAGCTTCCTCTGTGCGTCTCGGCCTCGGTTTCAAATCGCTTTGGATCCCTGGCACGACTGGGCCTGAAGGCGGCCCTTCGGCTGGAGTATCTATCCTGTGTCGCGCGAATCTTGGGCTTCATCATGCGCCCTCGGGGCTCGAGCTGGCGCCTCATAGGGCCATCACGGCCTTGGCCCACGCGCCCCAAGGGGATGTGTTTCAAGTTTGTTCGGTGTATATGCGCGACCCGGAAGGGCTCTCGGAAGCTAACCTCGAGATACTGTCGGCGATAGGGGCGGAAGGGTCCACCTGCGGGAAACCATTCCTAGTCGGGGGGGGTTGGAACATGGAGCCCTCCGAACTCGCCAAGCCCCATTTCGTGAGCACCCTGGTTGGTCATGTCATCGACCCCAACAAGCCTACTTGCCACGCTGGCGCGGGCAAAGTTCACGACTACTTCGTTGCATCTGCTGGGCTCTCCAAGGGCGCCGCCGAAGTTCGCGTACTCGAGGACGCTGGCCTCTTTCCCCACAGCCCAGCCTGCCTCGACTTCCACGCAGGACTGGCCCAGATGCACTACCTCGCATTCAGACGCCCGCCTCCTCTCCCATCGGAAGTGCCGCGCGGTCCCCAGCCTGAGCCGATGGACTTTAAGCGCGTGCATGCCCAGCTGGACGCGGCGTTCATTCGTGCGAAGCGAGGGGACGACGGGGTCATGACTTCTCGCCTATTTCGTGAAGCTTACGCATCTTGGGCGGGCCTTGCTGAACGGGAACTCTCAAGGACTTCCGGGGTTCAACTTCCAGTTTTGGGGTCTAGGGGCAAGGGGCCCAAGACTCATTGGAGGCCGATCCTCAGCAAAGATCACGGTTGCGTTCGGTACCCTCAGCTCCACGCCTGCCGCTGGCTCGCTTCGAAGTTCAAACGTCTTCTCTCCTGTGTGCAACGGGGGGATTGGCCTCAGGCTCGGGACGTGGGGCGCTCGCCGTCGTCTCCTTCCCCAAGTTTGTGCAAGCCCGACAACCTGTTCCCTGGGATGGAAGTGGTTTTTAAAAGCGTTTCCACGGTGATCTCGGACCTCAAGGTTTTGGAAGACCCTCTGGAGGGGTCGGGCTCTGATCCTAGCTTCTTGGAGGCTCAGGAGGTTTTGTTAGCCCAAGCCGAAGAGGTCTCAATTCAGGTTACCGACTCTGTCTCTCAGTGTAGCGCTTTCTACGCTGCCAAGGCCAGACGAGATTGGGCTGACTGGTTCAATGATAATGTCGATCAGGGTGGCCGCAGAGCGCACGGCTACACGAAAGACCCTCAAGGATGGTCGCCCTCTACTACGCTCAGTGCAGGAGGCTGTGGGGTGTCGGACCCGCAGGCGCTCCTTGCCGCCGAAGCTGATCGTTTTCGCTCTTTGTGGGAAGGGCTGCCTCTACCTCAGAAAAGGCCAGGGAAAGTGAATACCCCCCTCCCTTGTATTTCGGTGGACACCATTCGTAAGGTTTCTCGCACTTTTGCCCACAGGTCTGCCACAGGCTTGGATGGGTTTCACATGAGACACTTTTCGGTGCTGCCCGACGGGGCTTTGTTGGCCCTCTCGCGTTTTTTCTCACGATCATGGAACTCACGGGCACCCTTCCCCCTCAGCTGGAGGCTGTGATTATCGCCATGCTGCCGAAGCCCTCCACTGGTTTCCGCCCCATCGGGGTTTTCCCCAGTCTGCACAGATCACGGGGGAAATGCAGGAGAGACTACGCGGTTGAGTGGGAAGGGAAACACCAGAGAGAGTACTGGGCGGCGGGCAAATTCAAGTCTGCTTGCGACGTTGTTTGGCGGCAGGCCGCCCGTTCGGAGTCCTCCCGAGCCTGCGGGCAGCAGGCCTGCACTCTCCTCTGGGACTTTATCAAGTATTACGAGCGCATCCCTCTCGAACTCCTGGCACTTCGACGCAGGCAACATGGTTTCCCTGATGCGCTCACCGATGTGTGCATGGCGGGATACCGTTCTGCCCGCCTCCTGGTGCTAGCTGGAGTGGTGGCGCCTCCTACCTACGCGAGAGTTGGAATCATAGCGGGGTGTAGTTTCGCCACCACTATGATCAGAATATGTGCCCTGCGTGGCTTCGATCAACTGGAGGCCCCCAAGGGGATCACGTTTTGATGCTTACATTGACGACCTCGGGATTAATGCGATCGGGACTGCTCGGCACATCATGAAAGAACTCCCGAGAGCGGCCAAGCCCCTCGAGGAGAGCAATGAGAATGTCCTTCGGGCTGGTCGCGTCGTCTAAGAAAATCGCTAGGCATGTCCAGAAACGACTGGGGGGCTTGGAGGAGATTTCACTGAGCCTTTCGTCAACTTGGGGATTGATGACACCGCAGGCCGTGCCAGGCGAGTCCGAGGGCGCAACAGCAGAGCGAAGACGCGCTTTGCGAGAGCCTCTAGGCTTGCAGGCAGGCTGGCTCGTCAAGGAGGAGTTCTAGGACCGATGGGCCACCAAGCTTTGCTCGGCTGGACCCCTGGCCTGCGTGAATTATGGGGCGGAGGTTCACGGCGTCAGTGATGGTGAGTTAACCAAGGTTAGACGCATGTGTGCCTCCACGATGAAGCCTGCCTGCGGCGGCCGAAGTTTAACCATTCTCAGTAGGATCGAAGGCGATCCCGCTTGGTGGGGTGCGGTGGCGCCAGCCCTTAGGTGGGCTAAGGAAGTCTGGGCCCGTGCCACGAGGGTCACGGAAGTTTGCTTTTCTTGGGCTGAGCTCCGAAACATGCGGCACTATGTTTTCGGGCGTTCGTGGACCTGGTGCACCGTGAGCGGGCCCATCGGGGCCATGAAACTTTCCCTGGCCCGCCTGGGATGGAGTATGCCCTCGCCTTTTGTTATGATCAGCGACCTGGGGGTCGAGCATTCGCTCACTCTCACTCCTCATTCCCTCCTTCCGGCCTTCCTCAAAGAAGGGGTTTGGCGTTCTTTGGAGAGGGGAGCGGCCCGCAAGCACGGCCCCGATGGGGTCGAGTCTTTATGTTTTGACGTCGTCACCAAAGCCCTGCGTTCGAAGAAATTTTCGGCTCGCCAACAAGGAACGATCCGTTATTGTGCCTGTCAAGGAATTTGGCCCCACGCCCGCGCTCGAGCAGCAGGTTACGAAGTCGAGGATCGTTGTCCGCTATGTCTTCAGCCTGGAGACGCGATCTTTCATCGGCTGCATGCGTGCACGGCGGTGGAGGAGGAGAGGGGGGGCGGTGATTCCTGACAGAGCTCTTGAGCAGGTTTTGAGGAAGTTCGAGGAGGTTCCTGAGAAAGAGCGGTTCCATCTTACCTCTGGCTTGTTTGGCCACCCCCAGCGCGCGCTCCCACCCCCTAAGTCCGACAGTAAATCTGAGGAGGAGGATGGTATCCAGTTTCAATGTTTTCCTGACGGCTTCGCCGCGGAAGGCATGGAGATGCCCCGCGATGGCCGACGACAGATGTGGGGCCACGTATTTTTAGATGGCTCGTGCTCGCGCCAGGTAGTCCGCAGTTCGAATCGAGCGGGATGGGGCTTAGCTTTGATAGGCCCTCAGTCGAACCTCTTGGCATGACGTTGGGGGCCCGTCTGGGACAGCTGCCCGCAGACACCACAGGCTGGAGAATTTTCGGCATATGCTATGGCTTGCGCGCTCCTGTCTGCACCAGCAATACTGTATTCAGATTGCCAAAATGTTGTTTCCATGCATGGCATGGCCCGACACGAGCAACTTTCCCCCAAGCGTCCATACTCGGGGCTGTTGACGCAGGGTCGTTCTCTGGGGGGGAAATGGACGCTCGGATGTGTGAAAGTGCCCGCACACCTTTCAATCGATGATCCCGAGATCAACGATGATGAGCGGTTCCGGAGGATCGGGAACGACTTCGCCGACAGGGCCGCCAAGTTGGGGGCAGACTCCCATCAGGCGCCGTCGGAGGAGGTAGCCAACGAATGCACAGCCTTAGTGAATTCGGCACTAATGGCGGTCAAACTGTGTGCAGCGCTGCTGCCACTCTGGCCGCGCACGGACCTCTCCCGTGCCGAGTGGTCTGCGCCTGCCCCTGCCCCTCGCACCCCTGTTTCGCCCCATCTATGGGAGCGGCTGGGTCCGCCTGGAGGGGATTAACGTTTTTGGAGTTGCCAAGGGCGCCTCAGGACGTCACGCAATGCCGCTGATAAAGCTCCTGCCCCTGGCCACTGTTCTGAATATTTGAGAGTTGATGTTCGGCGGCTTAGAGATTTAAACCACAAGTGTATCCTCCTGGATTGTTCGAACGGGTCGTTTGTTGTCGTTTGTACTGTGTGCCAGAGATACACTAGTGGAGCCCGCCTAGCAGCTCTCAATAAAACTTGCCCAGGTCAGAAAGCTTCAGCATACAACTCTGACGCTTGGAACAAGATCTGCAAGGGACTCCATCCTAAAGCGAAAGGGGTAACCTTACTCTCAGACACTTACAGTGTGCTTTAAGCATGCAGCGGGAGCCAAAGTGCTCAAAAAATCCTCCTCCTCCTCCTCCTTCTCCTCCTCCACCTGCTCCTACTCCTGCTCCTTCTCCTGCTCCTTCTCCTGCTCCTTCTCCTCCTCCTCCACCTCCTCCTCCACCTCCTCCTCCGTCTCATCATCATCATCATCATCATCATCATC